TCCAAACTAATAGTCATGGAAATAAAAATGCTAGAAAGTTAATTTTCGTGTTCCGTTACATGTGTGAGCCACTGTATGTCTCTGAACCAACTAATAGTTTAATATCGATTGATATGTAATCACCAATAGGATTTTTCTTATTCTCGTCAAAGCCCTTTGGGAACAATATAGGAGCACCAGAAAACTCGTTTTTATTGAAACGGAATTGATAATAGCAAACGCGTCAGCAACTTTTTTATTATCGTATGTGTTATATACTTGAGATATCATTGTTTGGAAAGTAAAAGTATCGATAAGATTTTTCAGAATCTTTAATCTGATTTTCCGTCTTTATCGACTATGGAAAAATACCTTTTGCAAATGATTAATTGAATTTGAATCAGAAATGACATTTTCAATACTGTAAATATTTTGTTCGTTGAAAAACATGTCAAGATAAAGTCTGTAAAGTCTGTAAAATTTATTTACGAGTTGTCCAAATAAAATGCTCCGCGTGTAAGTACATACAGTATAATGATAAATATGCAATATGGCGCATATTTTTTGCTAATTGCAAACTTTTGCTTGGAATCAATAATGATTTATCAAAAGGATTTAATAAAAAAAAAAAATATAAAAATATAACACAGAGCTGTGCATTAATTGTCAAAGTATCCAAAAAAAAATAACTAGGACCATTTATTTTTTACTTTAAAACAAAAGTTTTCCAAGATCAATTGATAATTATTTGTTGACTATTACATGTATTCAACTAGAACGATTGTCTTGGATAATTAAAACACTTTATTTTATAAATTAGAATTCTTTGCAATGTTCGTATTTATAAATGATCAATTCTGTTCGAATAATTGCTTTGGTCAATTAATATATATTTAGTAAATAAATATTCATAATCACATAATTTGTTATTTTTTCCCACTAAATGCCGAGTTTTTTTTTTAATTAATATAATTAATTAAACGAAGATACTTTATTTAAAAAAATATAGATTACTCAAATAGAACCTAGCTGATAATGTTAACTTGTTGGCTGCATAAATAGATATTACAATTTAGGATTGTTATATTTAAAAACAAGTCGCCATTTAAATTCTTTTTCAGTTTCATCTTTTCCCTGATCTATCAATGCGGATGGTTTTAACATTGCAGATTGGTTCAAAACGTTATATAAATAACGAACATTCCAACTGGCGACAACTACATAATCTGTGCCTTGGATAACCTGCCAATAAAATCCTTTCCAGCTTGGAGATGCGAAGGTTACCAATTCCAAAGCAGATTCATTGTCAGGCTTCGTCCCGTAGGTAATCGCTTTACCCGAAACCGAATTGATGATAGCACGAGCACGCTTGAAATCGGAATTCTCAAAATAAGGGTTCAGGGAATCAGTGTACGGATTGAGAAAGTACCAATAAGTGTATGATGAGCTTTTGTCATTTGTTAAAGCCAATTTACCATCTTGCTCGGTTAAAAAATAACCAATATTTGCATTCGATTGAATTTGATACAAGCCTGACATTTTTGGTCTTGTATGCTTGGTTAAGTCTGTTAAATATTGGGAAATCAAATTTTGATAATAATAGATTTATTAGGATTGGTGCCGCTTCTTATATGTATGTACATTTTACGGGAAATTTTTCTGAGAATAACTTACGGGAAGCCTAATAAGTATAAATCAACGTCGCACTCACAAAACTTGTTAAATCAGGAATGCTAAATAACGTAACGGTAATACATGTACATAAAAATAACGATAACGATAGCGATAGGTTTATTTAATTATTTACTAGAAAGAAAACGTAATTGATATTGCTAAATATAATTATGTTTTTGTTTTAAACATAACGATAACGATAACTACGTGTGTTAATCACATTTTCGCGTTAATCAATCTTTAATTCTACAAGTATAGAAAGAGACACATTCCACTACGTATAATAAAGCGACTCTGTATGCACTAGTATCAAAAGGAACTGCCGTTTAATACCATATCAACGTCACTACATGTGAGATTATAGATGCAATAAACGTTAACTGATGAATTCAGCTTTTTTCAAATATTAATTTGAGCTGTTCATAAAATATTTTGTACATATCGATCGAATTTAAAAAATTCTAAACATCGAGTTGAAATGGTTCGAGGTCAATTTAGAGAATGGTTAAAAATTTCATTCTAGCTTTAAATTCTATTATTACAATACGGTATACTCAAATACTCGAACTTTATCCTGATCACTTCTACTACAGAATCCGGGACGGTGCCGATGGTACGTAATGTTATAAAATAGCAAATATATCAATTTTCCCAAGGGTTATGTGCAGTAGAGAATGTCATGCCATTTGCTCTTATTCTAAATAAAATATCACTATAAAAGAAAGACCCTCCTCAGAATTGTAATCACTAGAACCAAAACGGAATTGGCCATAGAAAAAGTTCCTTTAAGTCCAAGATTCTAACTTTTAATTTTTATTCCATTATACGGTAATACTGTATCGGTGTTGGTATAGCTAATTCGAGTACGACAATTACATTTGTGCATGTATCTGTATGACCAAACCTTTGTCAATTCTACCTTTTTTGGGGTTTTCCGCGAGTTAATCATTGATGAATAAAGTTGTTACCGTTACGGTAACTTAAAAAAAATTGTTCGATTTAGTTGTACGTACATGAACTTAAAAATTAGAGAATTTTTTATCTACTTAAAAGAAGAATTAATTATTATTTCTACTGAAAAATGTTTTACGCAGTACAAACGACATGCCCAACCCTCAAATCTAAAAAATGTTATTATTTATATGACCAAGGCAATCATATAAAAGTGCTCACATACGACATAAATCCATTTACGTACTTATGTCATACGGGCAGTGGGATGGGAAAAGCTATTGAATACCTAATAAAGCAAATTCAGAAATTAATGGACACTTAAAGACGCCAATAAAATTTAGTTATCTTTAAAAGGCAAAGGATTTTCATACAAAGATCATACAAAAAAAAAGTAGGCCGCTATTTTGTAGTAAATAGGCCTAGCTACAAAATAGCGACCCTCTTTTTAACCAGTGGGACAAATAACGTGACCTGTGATCGTCAATTCAAATTTTATTGGTCAATCATGAGTCACGCTTTGTTATTTATTGGTTATTACAATAAACCACTTAGCAAATGACACGTATATTAAGATAATCACGTGGTTTTTTGCAGGAGATCAAAAATCGATTTTTTAGTTCATTTAAATTCTGTTTGGATAAGTCACGTGATTGGCTTCTTCAAGTGTCTGCACTGTAATAAAAGACATAATAGGTACTACCTAGTCAACAATTGATGATAAAAACACAATGATTTAGATTGTGCGTAGAATGCAGAGAATTTTACTGTCAATTTGAATGGCATTAAATTACAATTGAATTTCTACATTATTTAACATATTGGCATTAATCAAGTGCATTGTCGAAATAGAGATTTGTCGAGGCAAGAAAGTTTTTGGTATTTATGATAAAGTTCAAAATTTTATCAATTGTGAATATCGAAATAAGCCTGAACTAATTACACTAGCTATGTTAAGAAAAATCCTATTTTACTTTAACGAAATAAATAATGAACTACATATAAGTTTATATCATGTTGAACTAACGTAAGTGATAACGATAAATCTATTTTTACAAGGATAGAATTTAAAAAATTGACGATTGGAATTAAAATTCTTCACACATTTCGATTTCCAAAATAAATACCCGAATGTGGACCATCATCTACTCAACATAAAAATAATGAGCTGCGTACTTTCTCCAAAGTTTCTTTTTTCGTCTGGTAATTGATTACTATATTTTCTCATTTTCAGCAAGATTATTGATTTTCTCATTAAAGTCTTCAACTATTGTTAAAAATTCTACGGAACTTAATGTGAAACATAATCCTTTCTTTGAATCGTTCAATCCGGAAGAGACTGACATTGCCTGGGTTTCAGAGTCCAGACGAAGACGAATATCTCCAACTTTCCAATCAAGAAACAAATCTTTAGTGAAATCAGGCAAATTTTTGATTTGAATGCAATTAACTCTCAATTTACAAACTGCAACATCTGGAAGAAGAACGTCATGATTGGCAAAAGAGAAAAAGCCATCTTGACTAAAACTTTGAATTACGAGAGTATGACTGCTCAAATTATTAAATTGGTCATAAATTATCTTGAATTAAAAAAAAAGATATAAAAGAAATTTAGTTTCTGTTAAATTAACAGTCAAATCCCTAACCTTAACATACAAGTTCAAAACCGAAATATTTTCTCAAATTTTGAAGCACAAGTTCAATTATAGTTGTATTCCAAATGTTACAAGTTCTTCGCATTGCCCACAAACTCAGAAACCTTAAAAAGAAAGAATGCAAATTTTTAGTAGCTTTCTCGAAACTTTGTAGGTTTAATTAATTTACCCTTCCATTCGCAAAACTAGATCCAAAACTTTTTCTAATAGTTCTGGTCGTTCAAAAATGCAAGACATCTGATGCTACAAAACTTTAAATCTTAAGGCACATAAAAAAACAAATTTTAATTCGTTTATTTAATAATTTTTGTTTTGGGTTATTTTATTTTATAAATGCTTGGCAATTCCATTTCTCAAATCTTTTTTAAAACTGTCGTTATGATATAGATCGACTGATTATGCAATATCGACTATTCCTTTTTTAGTTTCTTATAATACATGTAAGAACAAAGGCTTCGTACGTAATACGTAATAGCTACACTCGGTGGACAAAAGTTTACAATCAGGAAATGATCGACATAAATTTAGGGTGGGTATTTTTCTATTGT